TTCTCAGTTGCGACAAAACAACATTTTCTCTTACGGAAATATAATTCTAAGAATCTGAGAATTTGAAAGATTCTAGAAATTTCTTTCAAAAATTTAGAAAAGACAAGGTTTGAAATTAATTGTCAACATATTAAAATAATGATGAATACGATGTATCGAAGTATATATATTATTGTGTAAAAAATATAGAAAAAAATGTTGACAGTTATAATAAATCGCGAAATTTTGCGGACTAAATTACATGTAATACAAATAATAATGCAATGCCTCTTGCATATACCTGTGACTATGCATAATTTCACGGTACTAAGTTGTAGAACTAATTAAACTCCAGTCTGAGGGGTAAAGTTAAGCAGTTTTCCTATTTCAGTGATTGGTTTCTTGAAATCCTGTATAATCACTGCAGGAAGCGAAGATCGTTAAAGTTGAAAATATAATTAAAAGGCTTAACAATTTCCTTTACATAAAAACAACTTATTTGTTTCATGATCCATTGAAAAAAAAACCGAGAAAAAATATTGCATAAATAGAACAATATAGAGAGAAGGTTACAATGCTTATTCATATGTCTTCAAATTTGTCTAGAGTTCTTGCGATTTTTTATTTTTGTCATTTGGCAATGGAGCGACGGGCAATTGATTGCTTTAATAATTTTTAAGTGACAATTTCTAACAGAGAGATGTACTTTGTTTCGAAACATCATAAGTGAATTAATTTAATTAAAAGTTCCAGAGAGAGCGAAAAAAAAAAAATTGAAACAACAAACTGAAGTGGTTGAGCAATTCAGTAGGATCGGCAAATGATTGAGAGAGAGAGAATAGACGCAGATAAGAGTGAGAAAATAACTCAACATTGCGCGCTGATGGATAGAAACAGCAAATATTTGGAGCTCTCAGTATGCCCGGCGCAGAACGGGTGGGATCTCTCGCATCCTCTTTCTTAATATCTCCATCCTCTCTCTCTCTCTCGACATAGACCCTCCTGTATATCAGACTGAAGATTTCCCTCTAGATGTAAGGAGTGCGTATACTTCAACAAAGATTGTGCTTGCAAACTCAAGTGGCTGTAGTGATAAAAAAAAACGGAGATTTTATGTGTGGCGCGCGGTATTCTTGTAATTTTGAATCTACTTATTTTTAAATCGAGATTTCTGATTATTATCACAGAATTTTCATGAGATCTTCCATTCGAATTAAGATGTAACAAGAGTTTGCAGAAAATACTTCAGTTTGATACAGAATATAATATGGTTTTATTGTTATTCTTCTTATAGTGTGTTGGATCTGATTTAGAACGTCGTTGCGATATTGTCCGAGGCACAATTAAGTGTTTTCAATATTTTAATGTTTCTTATGAGTGATGGAGTACTAGTCCAACGCCAAACCTAGAGAACCAGGACATCTCATACCGCTCGCAGATTTTCCCATTGCCTCACGAGAGGAAGCGGACGGGAATCGAATTCGCCAATCTCTCCCTTACTAGGCTAGCGCGCTACGTCCGACGCCACTTACGGCGCTATTAATCTTACAGTTTTAATGCTAAATCAACGATCTTTGAAAATTAAGGCAAATAATTTGACATGATTAGTAAGAACATATTTTTGCGAACATGTTTTACGGACAATCGATTCTTCACTGAACTTAAGAATTATACATTATTGATCATTATCGATGAGCGAAAATTACTCTTGGGAACTTGGAGCATTCGCTCTTCCGCGTATTGCAGCTGATGGCGTTATTACGTATGTATGGAATGAAATCTTGTTGGGCACGTCGCACTGGATTTACCGAGCTTTATGTACTATTGGGATTAAAGCATGGAACACACGTATCGTAACTTCGTTCAAAAATAATGAACTGCGATCAGTTGGATAAAACAAACTATCCGATCGAGTCGAAAACTCGAAAAACTTGGAGCTCAAGCAATTATAAAGAAAAAAATTTCGTGACAGAAGATACGAATAAAAATAATTGAAACCCAATTATATACATGCATAAAACTGCACAACATTTATGTACACAAAATTATAAACAGATAATTAAACATTATTATAAATTTTGTTTCACGTATTATATTAATGACTCAAAATTTGTACTTTAAATCGAATCTAAGTTTCGCTAGGTAATAATAGGTACATATATTACGTACGCATAATGCTAGATTTTATTTACTTCATCTTAAGAATGATAGATCAACGATGAGATGCGTCAGAAGACGCATATAATAACGCGTATCTGACAGGAAGTTATCTGACAGACTTTATTAAGACTGGAGACGCGATAGAACTAAGCTGCCTTCTATGATAAATTTCGACCGGGCATGTAGAATTAAAAGACCGACGTTTACAATAATGACACAGCGGATGGAAAGAATGACGAGAGTCATGAGAAAATCGTGAAATATTATACGAACGTCTCAATAAACGAAACACTTGTAACATAATATCATTGAGCAATCAAATAATCATTAATTAAAATACGATAAGATGACTAATCACATGGACAACGGGAAACAAACGAATGCTGGATGGAAAATGCAATTACAATTAAACTATAATTATGTGCACGCGCTGACGCGTGCCAAAACCAGTTAATCTATTTTCTACAAAGACCATATTCATGTAACATTCATAATGAAATTACCACGTGGCTGCTATGCTTTCCCACGTGGAACTGTTGCACAGATGCAATTGCTTTTACATGTAAACGCCACGTTTGCACGTAAACCTTATTAGCGCACATGGGTAGAAATTCATCACATATCGCTGAGCAAATTTTCTGCTAAAGCATTATATATAATTATTTATTCATTACTCTGAATTTATTCACTATCGTTAACTTGCAATGCAATAGTACATATATTTATTGAAATCGTTTTCGTATTCTCCGGAACATATAGTTATAACAAACAATAATGATACAACATAACATAATTATACATGAAATCACTTTAATCTTTTCATGAAATGAAAGAAATGCTTTCTTCTCATAGTACATTATATTGTTGATAAAAAAAAAAAAGACTAGTTTTCTGAGGAAATATGGAAAGATCGATATAGATGCAAGATCGAAAAGACCATCGTTTCAATAGAGACCAGAAAATTATAATTGAGTGCAAGAGAAATGTCAACTCTCGTACGGATTGTCAACTTGTACAAAGTGCCATTGCGGACCATACAAATGTGTCACTTACCTCGAGTGCGCGTTAATAATTTATTTTATACCGCTTGTAAGATCAATATGTGGACTGCGCTGTCTGTGAGTTGCTCGCTAGACAATGGTCTAATCATATTTGTGCATAACAAAAAAAAAAAAAATAATATATATATATATATACACACATATATGTATATATAATTCATCAATCATCTGAGTAAACGCGTATCGACTACACATTTGATAACACGCGCAAGTGTCGTTATTATTAGTCTCATGAAGTAGAAACGATTAAAATAAAATATTTATCTGATCAGAAGAAAATAATCTATAATACTTATAAATTTGTTGTTTTATTATTTTATGTGGTATTATAAAACAATTTGTCGTACACACAATTTTTTGAGTGCGATATAATATATAATATGCAAAGATTCTGTCTTTATCTATCGTTACTCATTAATAATAAAAATAGAACAAAATATTTATTATATATAACATAAAAAAACCGAAAAAGTTCGATATAACTTCTATATTTAATAATTTGCGCAAGAGTCATAATTGATGCAACGTTGCAGCGTATTAAATAAACAATTGTTATTCTTTTTCCTTATTATTTTATTTTTATTATTTTTCCTTAGATACGAATTTTGAACATGCTAAAAACTATTACATATACTACCCAATACCAATGCATACATATAAAAATATGTACATACATACACAAGTATTAGAATATATACATACAAAAATATATATTCTAATATATATATACCTTTGTATACACATGTATGTATTCTAATACTTACATCTTCATTAATAATATATTCTTTCAATTGACAAAATAGGCATCGTTCATTGCCAATATCGAAAAGTTCACTTACGTACATAATATACATAATGTGAAATACAGATTTTCAGTATTGGTAGTGAATAATGAAACGCCATAGTAAATGACAGGCGAAAAAAAAATTAAATTTATTGTCAAAAAAATAGAATATGAAGAATATAAGACAAATTTTTGTTATTCCGACAATAAGCATAATAATGAAGCATAAAAACGGAAATTAAAATAATTACATCAGAATACTTTTTTAAAATCACCAAAAAATATAAATTTTAATTATTCAAATAAATTTCATATAATTTAATTCAATTTTTTAATTGAGTTCAAAAACCTCTAATGTTATCTTAATATATATATATATATGTCATATATACATATATATTTCTATATATACAGGGTGTCTGGTAATTGCTGAATCACCTCTCGGGTGCAGGTGGAGCGGGTTAAACCGAATAGAAAAGTCCTCTATTATCGTTTTGCGATTTTCGCAATAATGAGAAATTAAAGAAGATCGGCCAATTTGCGCGAGCCTAAGTGCGCGGCGAGAAGAGACAGCCAACTGTTACACGGTCGCTAGGACGCAAAGATCTAGCTTTACACACCGCTCGTATGTTGCCGTTATCATTTGTAGAGCGCTCCTCCCAACACTTTATCGCATGCCTAGTAATCAAATAACAGTGGGCTGTATCGCCACGGGTCTCTTCTCGCCGCGCTCTTAAACTCGGCCGATATTTTTTAATTAATTCCTCATTAATTATTGCGAAAATCGCAAAATGATAGAGGACTTTTCTTTTATTCAGTTTAAACCGCCTACACCCGAGAGGTGATTCAGCAATTATCAGACACCCTGTATATATAATTTTTATAAAGATAATATTGAGGTCTTTTGATGTAATGTATTTTAATACTAACTTAAATTTATATTTCTTGAGGATTTTTAGGATATATTTTATATGCATACATATGTGTGTGTGTGTGTGTATACATATAAAATATATCCTAAAAAATCCTTTTATCATTAAACATTTTAGTATTAAACATATATGTATGTATATGTATATATAAATGTATAACTTTTCTATTCACTGTCGCTACCACCACTACCCGAGACCGATTTCCTAGATACCGGAGACGCAGAGCTGCAAAAAAAAATATATTACCTCTGGAAAGCATTAAAGGCATTTATACTAGTTAAAAGTATTATGTAAAAAAAGCATTCTCTTACCGTGCAGATCCACTCGGACTTCGGCTTCGAGAACCGCTCTTCGATCTAGAGCGCGATCGCGATCGACTGCCGCTTCTCGATCTAGACTTGGACCTAGAGACAGACTTTGATTTAGATCGCGATCGACTCTTGCTTCTCGAACCGCTCCTCCGTGAACCGCTGTTAGACCTTGATCGCGACCCACTTTTGCGCGAGCCTGACCTTGATCTTGATCTTGATCTGCTTTTGCGCGAGCCCGACCTTGATCTTGAACGGCTCTTGCGCGAGCCCGACCTCGATCTTGACCCGCTCTTGGCCGACCTTGATCTTGACCTGGAACGGCTTCTGGATTTTGAAACACTTCTGGATTTAGATCTAGATTTAGATCTTGATCTTGATCTAGATCCAGAAGCAGACCGAGATCGAGAGCGTGATTGTGATCGAGATGGAGATCGCGAGCGAGAAGCAGAACGCGAACGCGAACGCGAACGCGAACGTGAATGCGAACGTGAATGCGAACGCGAACGCGAACGCGAACGCGAACGCGAACGTGAGCTACTTCTTGAGCGGCTCCCAGATTTTGATCTTGAACGAGATCTTGAGCGCGAAGCGCAAGAACCTTCTGAATCGGATGCAATTCGTCTGCTGCTGCGCGGTTGATTCTCGTTGCCACTTTCTCCACTGTAATAGTAAAATATGATCTTAAATATGACTACGCAACGCCTATATGAAGTTAGCCCCCCATTTTTCGATTTTGAATATTTTTTAGTTGTTCCAGGTTGTTCTACGTTTGTTCTATATTGTTCCAAAGTTATGAACAAAAAAATCGAAAAACATGACGGGAAAAGCAAAAAAACGATTTATTTTTGTGGCCACCCATTTTTTTTTAAATTCAAATTTTTTTGCTGTTCTGGATTGTTCTAATTGTTCTAAACATTGTTCTAAAATATTAATCCCCCTAAAAAAGAATTTAAAAAGATATAGCAAAAAATAGCATTAAGCGTCCAAATAGTATTTTACATTTATCGCTATTATTATATTATGTTTTGACACCAAATTACATATTTAAGCTAAAAACGAATAGAACAACCCAGAACAACTCTCAGTTTCACCAGAACAAACATATAAAAGCACTTTACTCTTGAAGGTAGAGAATTATTTTGTCTTTTTCGACCGATAATGTTACATCAGCGACACTAAAACCTAGAACAATGAGAAATAGACACAGAACAATCCGGAACAACTCTCAGTTTTGTCAGAACAAACGTTTAAAGAGCACTTTACTCTTGAAGGTAGAGAATTATTTTGTCTTTTTCGACCGATAATGTTACACCAGCGACACTAGTGCCGATTAGTGTTTTTTTTGAATTTTTTTATTTTTTTAAATATAAGAGTAAAGTGCTCCTTATACGTTTGTTTTGACAAAACTGAGAGTTGTTCCGGATTGTTCTGTGTCTATTTCTCATTGTTCCAGGTTTTAGTGTCGCTGGTGTAACATTATCGGTCGAAAAAGACAAAATAATTCTCTACCTTCAAGAGTGAAGTGCTCTTTAAACGTTTGTTCTGACAAAACTGAGAGTTGTTCCGGATTGTTCTGTGTCTATTTCTCATTGTTCCAGGTTTTAGTGTCGCTGGTGTAACATTATCGATCAAAAAAGACAAAATAATTCTCTACCTTCAAGAGTAAGGTGCTCTTTAAACGTTCGTAATAACTTCGTATAGCATACATTATACGAAGTTATACGAATAATTCTCTACCTTCAAGAGTAAAGTGCTCTTTAAACGTTTGTTCTGACAAAACTGAGAGTTGTTCCGGATTGTTCTGTGTCTATTTCTCATTGTTCTAGGTTTTAGTGTCGCTGATGTAACATTATCGGTCAAAAAAGACAAAATAATTCTCTACCTTCAAGAGTAAGGTGCTCTTTAAACGTTTGTTCTGACAAAACTGTGAGTTGTTCCGGATTGTTCTGTGTCTATTTCTCATTGTTCTAGGTTTTAGTGTCGCTGATGTAACATTATCGGTCGAAAAAGACAAAATAATTCTCTACCTTCAAGAGTAAAGTGCCTTTTATATGTTTGTTCTGGTGAAACTGAGAGTTGTTCTGGGTTGTTCTATTCGTTTTTAGCTTAAATATGTAATTTGGTGTCAAAACATAATATAATAATAGCGATAAATGTAAAAATACTATTTGGACGCTTAATGCTATTTTTTGCTATATCTTTTTAAATCTTTTTTAGGGGGATTAATATTTTAGAACAATGTTTAGAACAATTAGAACAATCCAGAACAGCAAAAAAATTTGAATTTAAAAAAAAATGGGTGGCCACAAAAATAAATCGTTTTTTTGCTTTTCCCGTCATGTTTTTCGATTTTTTTGTTCATAACTTTGGAACAATATAGAACAAACGTAGAACAACCTGGAACAACTAAAAAAATATTCAAAATCGAAAAATGGGGGGCTAACTTCATATAGGCCTACGCAACTTATAATTTCTTCACCTTGGGCAAATTACATAATTAAAGTAATAAAAAAAAGTTTTAATTAATGCTATTTCGAACGATAATTTAGAAACATAAAGTGTAAATACAAATCCATCCATTGTTATCCATATTTTCAAACCTGATTAAACTATAAAATTAAAAATAATCGTAATATTTGGATAAGATTAGTGATACTTACCCACTGGCGATCTTAAGGCCGCCTGTATCACTGTCTGACTCGCTCGTAGAGATAGTTTCTTTCGATTTAACCAATTTGCCCTTAAGAGTTTCGACTGCACCTTTACCCTTGGATTTCTCTTTCCTCCCAATATTTTTTTTGCCACGCTTACGTTTCGGTTGATCGCTTTCCGATCCTGCAAAATAGATATTTATGAAAATTAATAATAAGGAATATTTTACAAAAAAATAAAAAAATAAATAAATTTTCTCACCGCTTTCACCGCTTCCAGTATCTTTCTTGCGTCTGCCTTTACCTCTGCTCTTTCGCTCTTTAGTTTCACCACTTGGTTTCCTCTTTCGCTTTCGTTCTCTTAGCACTTCCTCTCTGCCTTCGTCTCTGCCAGATCCTCCGCTGTCACTGATGTATTGATCAGTTCGGACCCTTTTACCCTTCCTTCCAGGCTTCTCCGATGGCATTTCCCCAAATACTAGTGCATTCTTAGTCTTTTCTACATATTCTTGTCGCTTCTGTAACATTTCTTCTTCTTTCTGACGACGCATCTCTTCTAACTTGCGTTGTTCTTCTGTCTGGCGCATTTTGAAGGCTTGTCTGTAAATATAAATAATTAGCAATAAGAATATATTTCAAATATATTATCTTCTAAGAGCAATATACCTTTCTTCTTCCTGTTTTCGCCTTAACATCTTTTCTTCCTCGTCTAATCTTCTAGCTCTAGCAACATGATATTGTGCTTGCGATAATAAATCTTGGCATCTCCTAGCTTCTGCTTCAGCCAGTTGCTCCATCCTATCACCGTGCGCTGACAAATATTGGAAATATTTGTGTGAAAGGCCTAATTCGTGAACGGCTTGGAGTACGGTGGTCAAAGTAGATTTTTCATCTTTAAGAATTTGCGTAGCCAATCGTTGGAGTACAAGAGCAATGTTGTATAATAAAACGGTATCCTGCGGGGCTACTCGGCGTGCCTAAATCGATAAATTATGTATTAATCATCAAAATTAAAATAAGGAAAAAAGTCAAAAAGCGAAGAGACTTTTTATTTCATCAATTCAAAATCAATTGAAAGTGTCCCTTTTTAATTTTTCCCCGTATATTCTGATTGATATGCAATAAATTACCTTTAATAACGTCAGTTTTGCTTCTTTTAGCTTGCCAGCTTTGAAGTAAGCTCTCCCAAGATATTGCAAGACTTCAACGTGATGATATCTATAGAACTTACGCAAACAGTTTTCGTACTACAACATAAAATGTTACATTCATTAAACTGAAATTTTGAAAGAGCATTTTTCGAATTAACAATTATAATTTACCATTTGAATAGCACTAACGAATTGTTTTTGCTCTACGTAGATATGTGCTATATTCAGCCAAACATCACAAAATTCTGCCGTTGCTTCGCGCACTTGAGCAAATATATCTCTAGCTTCGTTCACGCAACCTTTGTGCGCAAGAACAGCGCCAATGCCATTCGCAGCCCAGATATTTTTCGGATCATTTCTCAGAACCTAGTAAATCATATCTAGTTAATCATAATCACGAGCATTATACTTATTCAGACAACATTGCGTTACCTGCTTATACATTGCTAATGCTCGATCTTGATGTCTCTTCTCTCTTTCCTTGTCTTTTCCACTTTGATGCAACGTCTGCAACCAAATATTGCCTAAAGCTATCAAAGAGTATGCATCTGTACTTGTTGTCGGATTTTTCAGTATTCTCTCAAACTTCTTTTGACCGGGACCCCATTCCATCTTGGCTAAATGCAGGTTACCTAGTAAGGACCATGCATCGGGATGTTCGTTATTGATTCTTAAAGCATCCTTGAACCAATCAGACGCCTCGTATATTTGTCCCTTGTCTCTAGCCATGCAACCAAGTCTCAAATAACAGTCTACGTAATTTGGATGCTCTTTCAGAATATCTTTATATAATTTTTCTGCTCGGTCAAATATACACAATGCCTCGTTGAGACGCGCTAAATTATACGTGGTTGTCACAGCTATCGAATTGTAATATACCGAATCATGCAAGGCATCTGCTTTTGAACGTGCCAGAGATTCTTCCAAATTTTTCCTGGCTTCTTCCAAATTACCGAGTCTAAAAAAATAAAAAAATAAATGTTTAAATATTTTTATCTTCCAGAATAAGATAAATGCAATATAAATATTATATACCTATAATGTAACGCTCCAACATTGTTCAAGATTTCTGGTGGAATATCCGCTTGAACTTTCTCTTTTAAGATCCTAGTCGCAGTTCCATAAGCATTTAAAGCTGCATTCAGATCACTTTGCTCCAATATTTGCGCTAATTCGATCCAAGCTTCGACATCATCGGGAAATTGTTCCGTTACTTTGCGCAAATGATTTTTTGCAATGTCCCGTTTCGATTGGGAACTCGAATTAGCATAGAGTGAGCCAAGAATCTTCATTGTTTCATAATTTCCTGGTTGTGCCTTCAGAACTTTTTCAAAACACTGAGCTGCCTTTTGTTGAAATTAATTATCATGTGTTTTTAATACGCATGGTTAACGTTTTAGATATATTTTAACATATATTATATATTCTTACATTCTCAGCGTCACCACGGTAAACATACATCTGTCCTAAGCCAAAATGCGGTAAAACAAATACAGGAGGAGCAAACTGCGTTGCCTGATAATAATATTGAAACGCTTGGTCGTAATCACCCTGAAATATTTTTACTTCATTACTAAGCATGAATAATGTAATAATGACAAAAATGGCCTTAGAAGCTAATACGACTTACTTGAACATGAAATGCTCTAGCTAATTGATAGCAACTTTCTGCTCGCATAGCTTCGTTTTCCGTATTATGAAACGCATGCAATGCTAAATGCTGAACTTTACTATAATCTTTCTTAAAGAAGAAATGGTTTGCTAAATGATTTAACACCATTGGGTTCGTAGAATCGATCGTGTATGCCTTTGATAACATCTGCACACCAGTTCTTATGCTGTCGGGCTGTTGCTGGTTTAATTTCAAGACGGAAAGACCAACTAGTGCACCGACACATTGTCCATCTAACTGCAAAGCTCTTTCGAACGCAAGTCGTGCTTTTTCTTGATTGTTCAATTTCATGAAACAGTGACCCATTCCCAATCTAACAGCAGCTGGACAGCTTGGATTAGTTCTGAGAGCTTTTTTATAAAATGCAAGAGCACCTCTGTAGTCCTTTTTGTTAAAAGCAATGCAGGCTTTACCGAGTAAAGATGGTATATTATTTGGCGACTGATTCAGCACAAAGTTGAACTGTGCATCAGCCTGTTCCATTTTGTCGCCTTCAAGTAGGCAGAAATAAGCACGACCAAGTAAGTGATTCTGTAACAGAAAATAGCAAATTGAAAAATTGAAAAAACTTATAAATGTTGCTATTGAAATGCGTATATTTACCTGATCATACATAATAATCTTGTCAGCTGTTGTATACAATAACGTAGCTTTTGTAAAAAGATCTCTTTTTTTATCCTTATTCTTTTCTTTATTGGCTTCCTGGACATAATAGGCAGCCAACATGTCAAGAGCTCGCATCTGATCTTTTTCATAGTCACGATAGTCAATATTTGCATCAATACGAGAAGATTCAAGTATCTTGATAAAATCACCAATTTTTTGTTGTTTATAATACTCAAGCTAAAATGAAGAATAAGCATGTTAAATGGATATTCTATAAACTTCTTTATATTATTATATTATTACACATATCCTCTTTCAATTCAAAATTATCTGTACTACATACAGCCAAATTGACCCAAATGTAAAGTTGGGCATGTTCTTGCCGTAGAATTCCAAGAACTTCATCTCCATCTGGTAATTGATCTAAACAAAGTTCTATAACCTATGACATTAAGCAGAATAAAAAAAATTAAAATCTTTTAAGAATTACTTTTCAATATTTTATACTTCTCTCACTTGTTTATATTAATCGCTACTTTCTGTTTGCCTAAAGTTTTATTAGATTAGAGATTAAAGGGGCTTTATAAAAAATATTTAACGTGCCATCAACCTTGTTTTGTTTATAGAAGTTTTTTTTTGACACTCTTATGCTCCTTCCTGAGAATTAGAGGTTAAAAAAATGATAAAGTGATTTAAAAAATTGTGCTTAAAATCATAAGCTTAACTATATTGATAGATAAGACAATTATTACAGATTAGAAAGATTAACAACATTTGAAACATATTTATAGAATATTCAAATAAAGTAAAAATAGAAGTACATATCTTTTTAAAGACATCATAAAAGTATTATCAAAGTAATGTCATTGTGAATCAACATATTGTATATCTTATTTTGTGTATATAAGGTCTCAGTGTTCGTTATAACCGGAAAACATCCCGAAGTTCGACTTACAGTACCACTAATTGTTACAAAACCTTAGATCTTACATAATGCGCAATCTTTTATCGCCAGAATCTCGTTACGAATCTCGTTACGAATCTCGTTACGGATTTCGCAAATTAACCATATAATTAATAAGAAGAAAATATTTACCTCGTCTGTGTCGCGAAGTGGTATCTCTATTGAACCCGCCATTGAACCGCTCACGCTACTATATTTATGAACAACCCAGCGCAGTCAAGAACCATGAAAGTAAAAAAGGAAGATAAAGCACATAATATATACAATAGTGCAACCATAGACGTGGTAAGTATAGACTGTTCATGGCGTTCGCCTTTGACTATGGCTGCGTTCCGAAATTCACTGCCAGTACTGAAAATCTACAATATACGTGACGTAAACTATAGATTTTCAGTACTGGCCAGAGAGAAGACTGTGGGCGCGTTCAGCAGAACAAATCGCTTGGTAGCAATCGAACATGATTGGCTCTTACTTTTAGAACCAACAAATCAACGTTAAGTGTTGACTAGACGACAATTCAGCAGTTGTTCTGCTGAACGCAGCCTGTACCAGAGAGTCTTCTCTCTGCTGCTAGTACAGAAAATCTATAGTTTACATTACGTATATCGTAGATTTTCAGTACTGGCACTGAATTTCGGAACGCAACCTATAAAGCCCGCGGCACACGGTACTATTTTCTCTGCTGGATTGCTAACTAGATGTGCGTACTTGCTATCGTGTGGGCAGCAGTACTGGCAGTGCTACTGGCCATGATGTAAGAAGATAGGTGTACCATTGCGCATAATGGCAGCCGTATGACGTCAGCATGATAGGACAGCCAATCAAACGTGGTCCAAAATGCATCCGCGAAATTCTAATATAGAATTATCATATTATTAAAATGTAATTAAAATTTATAAAAATATCTTATGAAAATAATAAATTTGCAATATAAAATACAGTAGCAATAAATGACAATTACCCACAATAATAAATAATATCAATTAATAAATATTATATAGAAAATT